ATACCGGTTATTGAATATAGGTACATCCCGTTTTATCCATGGCTATACTTTTAAGGTAAAATTCCTCCCTTTTATCCCGGTCACTATGGAGAAATCCCGTTTTATCCCAGTCAATACTGCTATAAAACAAATGATGTATCGAAGATCGATACACAAAGATCGATATCCTTCCTGTTATCCCGGTTTCTTAATATAGGTACATCCCGTTTTATCCACGACTATCCTCTATAGGTAAAATTCCTCCCTTTTATCCCGGTTACAATGAAGAAATCCCGTTTTATCCCAGTCAATACTGCTTTGAAATAACCGATGTATCGAAGATCGATACACAAAGATCGATATTCTTCCTGTTATCCCGGTTTCTTAATACCTATAGGTACATCCCGTTTTATCCATGACTATCCTGTTTAGGTAAAATTACTCCCTTTTATCCCAGTTAATATCAATAAAATCCCGTTTGATACGTGTCTATCATAATATCGAATGATCCTTTCATAGGCGGTTCTACGGGGGTGCCAGTGGGTGCTGGGCACCCCCAAGCAAAAATTAAGTACGGTTATCAGAACTGTGAAATTACTGATTTTAAAGATTCTGTATTCGCTCACACTGAGAAAAAAAAACCCAGCAATTTATTGAAAATTTTGTAAACAGAATTAATATTGATGGTCGTGTTTTACAAAGATTCTACTGTTTTTTATGGCATGATTGTAGTTTTGATGGATTGTTTTGCTAAAAATGTTCCACGTTGAATTTATAGGTATTTAAGTAGGAAGGAAGGAGAGAAAAAGAGAAAGGAGGGTAGGAAAGGGATAAAACTTGAGGGCCGAAACTTAGGCCTCCCCTGAGCAACCGTCCTCTTCGGGGCCGGTCTCCGACATTTTCCACCTCTGGGTACCCCCAAGCATGAAGGTCTGGAACCGCCTATGTGTAAGGAAGCATACATTTAAATTTCCCGGGGATTTTCAATGGCGTCTTCTGATTGGTTAATGAAAGACCAATGAGAATGCAAAATGACACGGACGTACGCACAAAAAAGGCCTTATTTTTTTTACTATAGTAAGATAGTAAGATAAGATGTATAATTATTGAATAAAACAAAGTGCCTCCGCATAGGATTCAGATAAACCTGACTTTTCTCGAAAAGGCCCAACAGATTGTTTTCACTCAATCACTTTAGTGATGCAACATTGCTTATTCATCATTGTTCTTTCTCTTCCTATCAATGTCCCTTCTTGCCACGGCCTTGCTAGTCACTACTAATTTTAATTTTATACCCATTTTTTTATGGTATTTAATACCTACAAAATTACCGTTTGTAGGGTATTTCAAAGTTATATTTTACAGTTTTTTCAGTTTCATTAACCCACTGGAGATCATTAAAATCCATAGGCGGTTCCAAGGGGGAAAAGGAGAGGCATAGATGGCTTGTGCCCCCCTCCCCGTTTGCCCGTAAAAAGGAGGAAGACAAAAGGAAGGGAGAAAGAAGGAAGGACCGGGGGATAGAGAAAGGCAAGATACTCAAATTTGATCATACTTTATGACGAAATTAACTCAAACTGAATATTAAATGCGTTAAAATTTCTAAAATTTTCTAGGAGAAGCCACCTGGACCCTCCCCCCGTTCAAAGTGCCTAGATCCAACTAAGTCAAAATTTTCCTCCTCTGCCATTAGCTGCTGTTCAGCTCTGTATGAATAAAAATTGTTGCCATACACAGTGGCAGGTTGGCAAAATTTTCAGTGGGGCGAATTTCGTTGAGTTAAGTCGATAAATCAGATTTTAAGATTTTGATGGGACAAGTTCTAATACCTCAATAAAAGTTGCAAATAAAGCAAGTCATATTGTGCCCATAACATGGAATAGTCTTGAACAGCTATTGCAATGAACAAAGTTTTTTTTTTTAACTGAAAACTCCAAACCGCCACATCACCCACATTTGGTTTACTTTCTTGAGCATTATTGTCATTTGAAGTCTTTAGAACACTTCGCTGTGTGAACTGTCGCAATGAATCCATTTTAATTTATATGGATTAGTGCCCGTCTAGTCTCTCGGGCGGACACTCTTATAAAGTGCATGATATCTGATTACCTCATATTAATTTTGCATTTTAATAGAGCGTATTAAATGGTAATACCATCTGACGTGTTTACACCTCATTCTAGCGACACAGATTGTGGCGATGAATTATTTAAATCTCACGTTAAGTGATTTTTATTCATTCGTCCCACATTACAAACTAAAGAATATCTATATTAAACAGCTACAAAGCAAAATCTTGGAAGCACTATTTCTGACAAACTGCCGGACCGATAAGGATGATCTTTACATGTATGTCATCTGTAGTAGATGTAGATGTGCAAAAAATTATGAAACCCGAACTTTTAATGTTGTAGAGCTTTTAAAGCTTATGTCACTTAAGTCCAATGTTAATAGCGTGAGAGATACTATGTCGTTTCCGCTAAAAACGTCAAGGTGTGGGATTCTACCTGAGTGACTCGAATAAACAATAAAACAATGGAAAAGCTCGTGAAGGGCTCCTCATTCGAAGAGTTGAGGAACGGTGCATCGCTCAGGGTTCAATGTTCAAGGTCAAAAGTATAAGGTTTAACTCAATTTTTCCTGCATTCTTCCGGCTTCGATTTGTGGCATTGGTCAATTTACTTGATTGCTGAATTTCTATTAACTTTTACAGCAGATAAACAGCAGATACAATGTAAGAAGGCGGGCGCTGCGTCGCGTCGGGACGGACCAAATATTATTAACTCTTAACGGTCGAAATCCGATTTTTTTTTAATTAAGTATTTAAAAATAACATAATAAATGGAAATTTCTCCAGTAAGTGGACTGTGAAATTATGTACATCCGGCTATTCCTCATCATTTACAAATTCGAGTGTTACGTCAAAAATTTTGAAATCGATGCAGCTCGAACACAAAATGGTGTATTAAAATGGAAGAACATTTTTGCCTATACATATGCGTATAAGGCCCGCGAAGCGGGCCTGCGGGCGCGACGCGCCCTCCCGGGGGTTGGGCCGCGTAGGGGTCAGGGAGTAGGGCCCCCTAGTAAAATAATACGAATATTAAGGGAATAATGGTCAAAAAACAAGTTTGCAGAATCTTGGCAACATTGCAATGCGGTCATTTTTAAGCTGGTCAACAACTGCGAAAATGGCAATGTCTGCTTTTTTTCCGAATTTTGGCACCCTTAAGCAACTTTAATTTTGCCATGTGCAAAAAAATTTTATACGAAATTCAATGAGGATTAATTTTGAAAATGACTAATTCTGTGGTCAGATCAATTACTCGCGAGTTACATGTCATAATACGCCAAAAAAAACCAATTTTAGGCCATTTTTGCAAAAATTGGCAACTTTCCGGTCCGAATTTTTGGTGCAAAGTTGAAATCCGGATTCAGCGTCAAAAATTACATAGGAATCACTGATAACATTGCTTCCCGGGATTTTTGCAGGCTATGACCCCTTTATTGGTTTACTTATTTGCTACGGAACGGCTATCTTGATTGAATTGAAGAATTCACAGATGCACACACAGAGGCAGTCAATCTGGGTCCTGCTCCTAGACGTTAAAAACGTGAATCTGAACTCCTTCAATTTTCCGTCGCTCTAAACAAATTACACACGCAGCTAGAAGTGCTCGCCGGGATTTATCGACTCCTCTACCTTCAACCGCTGGGCACCGTGAGGAATGCGTTTGCGAACTTGAACGCTATTCGACCGCTCCAGTACGCGGATACTGGAGTTACTTCCCCACCATATTGCCGAGAGCAAATTTCAGAAACTCACTACCTACATTCATTAGAAAATTATTTATCAATAAAGGAAAGGAAATATTGGTCAAAGACCGCAAAAAATGCAAATTTTTGTTCAATGCTCAAAGTTTGCCACCCTCTATAATGCATTACATTTTAATGTGACTAAAAAAGTACGTGTACCTATTGATTTTACAGAAAATATTACCAACTTTAATTTTGAAAATCATCTATGAGTCGGTTCCGCTGGTCACAGAATCATGTGTTAATGCTCGATTCTTGTAAAATACATAAAAATAATAAGATCTGTCCAAACCGGAACTATGTATGTTCAATGTTAACACCTTTGTGATATCGCCTTATGAAAAGTCACGTTTTTGACGTCATCCACCGCGGTAGTGACACCCTTGGTTTCTTCCTCTTTTGTTCAATCAGTGATGCAGAGCGTGCGACGCGAAACTTCAACGACATTAAACATAAACAAACTAAGGTGAAGTGACTGACCGCCTGATCTCTTCGCGGCGAGTGCGTTATCTCCTTCTCCTGCTCAGAAGATCTTCGAAGTGCGAATTCGTCTGTTTCTTGAGTTCGTTTACGTTTAACGTCGTTGAAGTTTCGCGTCATGCCTTCTGCATCACTGATCGAACGAAAGGGGAAGACATCAAGGGTGTCACTGCCGCGGTGGATGACGTCAAAAACCTGACTATTTAAAGAGCGATATCTCGGTTAGTATTGAACGCAGAAAGTTGGGGCTTAGAAAAATCTTATTACTTTAGCTGATCTACAAGAATCAGGCATCAAAACACGATTCTGTGACCAGCGCAACTGACCCATTAGTTGTAAGCTCAACGCCTGGTGAGTTACAGGCCGTCAACGGTGAACAATCTGTTTTTAGGCCCTTTTCGCCCACTTCGGCAACTTTCCGACACGAGATTTAGGGAGCAAAGTCTAAACGTGAATTTACCTTCGAAAATTAAAGAAAAAACGCTAAAAATGGCTATTGGTGATTTTAACGAAACAAAGTTCTTCGTGTTGACTGTATGCCTGGAGTGAGTAGTGAGGCTCTATTTGAATGCTAAAACTTAATTTTGGCTAGATGAAAATTTGGAGATCATTTTTGTCAAGGGATTCATCAATGTGCTATATTTTCAAGTTAATTCAATTAATAATACTAAAAAAAGTCATAATTTTTAAGAGAAGAAGTATATGTATTTTCTATTCGTTTATAGGGACCACCAGGACAGCCAGGACCACCAGGACCTGTCGGTTTGGTAGGATACCCTGGTCAAGAGGGTTTACCAGGGCCCGAAGGTGAAAAAGGAGACACAGGCCCAATGGGGCCCCTTGGACCAAAAGGAGATCGGGTGAGAATAAAAAAAAGTTTTCCATTACTTGTTAATTGTTTCTCTAGAATTTTGTTTTACTTAAAAAAAAAAGTGATACGTATCTTGATTGAAAATCGCAATATTGATGAATGCATAAAATGCGAGGCGCAAGTTTCAATCTCAGAGAGAACATCTTATTCGGGTACGTCCCCTAATAGCAATGGCTCCTGAAAAAATTTCTACAAAAAGTTGTCCACAAAAATGTAAAAAAACTTGTAAATTGTAAGAGTTTGTAAATTTTAAGTAAAAAACCCTTAAAATACTCGTTTTCGGAAACCCTTTTGGGGAATTTTTTAAAGTAAAAAATAATTTTATTTTAATTAAAAGAAAACGTAAAGTTTACGTAAAAACCAATAAACTATATTCTCAATTTTTATGGGCTGCAACTGTTCCTTTTATGCTTTTCTGTTCACCACTTTCTTTCCTCGTTTTTGCCCGCAGGAAGTTAACAAAAAATAATGTAAATTTTACTAAAAATTTACTTAAAATTTACTTAAAAAGTTTCTTCAAATTTACTTTTATAAAAAAATCCCCAAAAAGGGTTTCCTAATACGAATATTTCAACAGTTTTTTTACCTAATTTTAAAGTGGTCTTAAAGTAAATTTTAAGAGATCTCTTAAAATTTACGAGTTTTTTACACCTTTTCTCAACCACCCACTCACTCACTGCTACTAGGGTCATGAATATGATTATATATTTTTTTTTATGTTGCAATTATTTTTAGCCGTAATGTGCATGTTACAAAATGTTAAAAAAAACTAGATACATTGATATTTTACGAGTTTTTTTAAAAAAATTCCTTACATTTTAACGCTCAAGAATTTTTCTTTAAAAAATTGTCAGAAAGGGTTTCCGAATACGAACATTTTAACAGTTTTTTAAGTGTTTTTGAAAAATGTTTTAAAAGGCCATTACCTACTACTAAGTATTATGCTTTTCGTAAATTCAAATTTCATTTGATATTTTTTGAAAAGTCATTCAATTATATTTTGAATTGTATTTCCATTCCTCAATTGTGTTTTAATTTCAGGGTAAAATGGGTCTTCCAGGATTTCCAGGAATAAACGGCATACCTGGTCAGCCTGGACCAACTGGATTTCCAGGAATTCCAGGATTAGATGGATGCAATGGGACGGACGTAAGTATTCAGTTTTGTCAACGCAATTAAACGTGCTTTTCAGATTACAGCAGCTATCCTTACCCACATAAATCCCTGCTTAGAGTCTACATAGAATCGCACTCCATTGCCGTTGTCGGCAATACAACGCGGATTAAGACACTGCCTCTGACGAATGATTTCCCGGAAATAAATGGCACTAAGAATTTTTTTGTGACGAGGGGGGTACAGAGGGATATTTCATCAAGGAAATTCCGAAGGGGGTATGGGAAGAGGGATGGGAACCGACCAAAATCCTACCACGCACCTAACCATTCAAGGGAGGTCTGGGGGCGCTAGCATAGAGATTTTTACGGGCCTTTCCAAAAAAATTGAAAATTCAATTTACTTGCCACAAATTTGGTCTCCTTTCGCCGAAAAAGTAATTGAAATAACATTTCAATGGCAACAAATATAAGCAGTCGTTTTGTGAAGTTGTACAACATCCTGAAGGAGGCTCTATGCGTAGAATTCTGGTGGAGGGGGTTCGTTGGCTTCCTTGACCTCCTCTCTAGTTTTGTCCATATTTAGAAAAATATGAGAATAAAAAATCACCCTGAGGAGTTCAATACGCCGCAGAAGACGAATACGCTGTATAAAACCAACCACCTACTCTCCAATGGGAATGGAAGCAAATCTTTACTTTCAATACGGTATTACGATGGTGCTAGTTTTGGTCCGCGTCTTCTAAAAATGTAAAAGCCGAAATATTCCAAGAGTGAAAATGAAGACTGAAAGAAAAACAAAGAAACTGAGTGCGGAGCTGAGAGCAAAACATAGAGATCAATCAGGTGTGCAGGGTGTCCCAGACCATCACCAGGTTTTTTTCTCGGTTGGCTTAGGTTGTAGGTCCTACGAAGTCAAAGACCGTGGGATTTAATATATAATGAACCACAAGTATAATCAACATCTCAAAGTCTCTCCCATCTAGCGCCCCTTGAGGTAAAAGGGAGGGTCAAGATCCTAAAAATCAGGTTTCAAGACCAAAGTACGATTCAACTGCATTAAAGCCAAATACACTTTCTCTGAAGAGGGAGGCAGTAATGCGGCACTTATATCCATACTTTCTCTTTAGCTGCAAAATGGACGTAGATTCTCCGTAAAAAGATGGTACCCCAAGTAATTGACCCAAAGTAATCTACATATATTATACAGCTACAAGCAAAATCTTGGAAGCACTATTTCTGACAAACTGCCGGACCGATAAGGATGATCTTCACATGTATGTCATCTTCAGTAAAAGTAGATGTGCAAAAAATTATGAAACCCCGAACTTTTAATGTTGTAGAGCTTTTAAAGCTCATGTCACTTAAGTCCAATGTTAATAGCGTGAGAGATACTATGTCGTTTCCGCTAAAAACGTCAAGGTGTGGGATTCTACCTGAGTGACTCGAATAAACAATAAAACAATGGAAAAGCTCGTGAAGGGCTCCTCATTCGAAGAGTTGAGGAACGGTGTATCGCTCAGGGTTCAAGGTTCAAGGTCCAAAGTATAAGGTTTAACTCAATTTTTCCTGCATTCTTCCGGCTTCGATTTGTGGTATCGGTCAATTTACTTGATTGCTGAATTTAATCTATTAACATTTACAGCAGATAAACAGCAGATACAAAGTGAGAAGGCAGGCGCTGCGTCGCGTCGGGACGGACCAAATAGTATTAACTCTTAACGGTCGAAATCCGATTTTTTTTTTAATGAAGTATTTAAAAATAACATAATAAATGGAAATTTCTCCAGTAAGTGGACTGTGAAATTATGTACATCCGGCTATTCCTCATCATTTACAAATTCGAGTGTTACGTCAAAAATTTTGAAATCGATGCAGCTCGAACACAAAATGGTGTATTAAAATGGAAGAACATTTTTGCCTATACATATGCGTATAAGGCCCGCGAAGCGGGCCTGCGGGCGCGACGCGCCCTCCCGGGGGTTGGGCCGCGTAGCGGTCAGGGGGCAGGGCCCCCTAGTTCAAATATAAGGACTCCGAAGTCCCAGTAGGCCTCCCATCCCCCTTGGGCGGGCGATTAAACGGGGAGCTCAATTTTAAAAGTCGGTCTCCCTTACGAATCGCAAATTAATTGCTACCAAATAATTGAAGAGTATAACATACTAGCCGTTCTGGACGCGCTTCGCGCGTCCGTCACGGCCAGCCAAGGGGCTACGGCCCCTGGACCCCCGATCACTCGCTACGCGAATGACATTCGGCTCGCTCCGCGAGCCATTTTTCTCAGTGATTGGACATTTGATCACTAATATGTATACATTTCGGAGACTCTGGAGGATAACATGATTTCGTCACAGAACCTTGTTGCCGCAGCGTGCTATCATTTGCACATGAATAGATGTGTGGAGATGAAGCGATGATGGGAATCGATCATTTCTTCAAAAAGGCATTTGACTGGAAAGTCATCCTATCGGGTGGCGGAAAAAGACAATCCATGGACTTCATCCGCGATTTGACTTGCTGAAGTAGCAAAAGTTCATCTTCACCTCTTAAGAAGATTATCGGTGGCGTAGGGGTCTAAAAACTGCTCAACGATAGTATAGTTCGAGTTCCGAATCGCAATGAGCCCACTCGTGTTTTTTTCTTATGCTTTCATCGCATATAAATTTCTTTGATGTTTTTGTTTTATTCTCTCTGATTGCATATTAGTAATCATATCCTCATTTCATTTCCTTTCCCTTTCCTTTTTCCCTTTCTGTAGCATCTGTGTCCATTTACAATTATTATTTTAAAATAGCTTTCCTCTAGTATACAATTGATGCTTCAAACGGAATCGATTGTTTTAATGACATTTCCGGCTAAATCATGGGTTTTCCCAGGAAGGCAGCCTCTCGTCCCTTCCGGACTCTATTGTTGCCAGAAAAGTTGCTTTTTTAGCGCTTTTCCCAATTCAAATCCATGTAAAATACTCACATTAATCGCACAGTCTGGCAACCTCTCGAGTGAAATAGAAAAAGGTGGAATCGCCTGAATCCTTCGAAGTTTATTTTAATGATTTATTTAATTTACTAGCGACCCTTACGTGTTTCGCACGTAGCAGTTTATGCAGACTGAATGACAGGAGAAAAAATACGGTGATTTTCGGATTCAGCTGCCAAAATTACACAATAGCCATTTATCGCATGCTTATTCAAGTTTCCTATCTGTTCCTGACATCAATATTTTTTTGGACCAGTGCTCCTTTCCGCCTTTTGTAAAGCCATGTAAAACTCATCCGATTGTTATGCGTCGGAGAAGAGAGGAAAATTGTATTTCTCACACAACAAGTGGAGTTATTCCCACTCAATTCTTGACGCTGCAGCCGAAAATGATCCTCGTTCTCTTCTAAAACCTTCGGAAAAATCAAGATCCCAAAAAGAGGGGATTTATTTGAGCTGAAAAATCTATTTTTCAAAAATTTGGTAGATTTTAGATGAAAAATAAGATCATTTTCGGATTAAGAGGCAAAACTTGAATGAGAATCAACCACTCATATCTGAGAAAAATGTTTTTCTTATGTCCTTTCCGGCGCACAACAACCGGATGAGTTGTACACGGTGTTATATGGGCGAATAGGAGCACTGGTCCGCAAAAACCTCGATATTAGTATTAGAAAAGAAACTTTAATGGGCATGGAATACTAAATTCCCTATGAGATTTTGGCTGCTGAATCCGAACACCGATTTAGCTTTTTTCCATCATGCGCAGATTTTCCGGAACACTGATACTTCTCTGGAAAAGCTAGATTTGTAGGGACAATTCTTTTTTTTGCGGAGAACATTGACGTAATACCTAACCCAAAAAAACAGACGTGATGTTCGATATCAGCGTTCATAAATCTATCCGAGGTGGGTTGAACAATTTCAAACAAATCTAAAAAAATTAAAAGTGGACCATTGCTCCCAGTAAGTATGTATCTCGTTAATAACTCGATCACTTGCGCTATTTTTGTGCTAAGTACATTGAAGAATATTTGGAATGTATAAATTGTCGTTCGCGAAATTTTCTTGTATGCCTCCCATTTTATCAGTGATTGATGCTTTTGATCAGCAAACTGAAAAGACAACATTGCAAAACAAAGATTCCTCGGATCGAGGAGTGGAATAGGATAGTGAAATATTTACGATGGACCGTTTGATGGAGGCTTGAAGCAAGAGGCTTGGTGTTACTGAGTGCAAGAATGCAAAAGCCTAGGACACCGTGTGCCTCGCGGTAGGCTCTACACCAATAAATTACAAATTCTCAACCCCAGCACGCACCCTTGGTGAACGCGCGATGCGTGAAATATTCCTTCTGTAATGTAGGCGCTAACATGCGTTTTACGGTATCTGGACTGTGTTTGACGCGATTATTTAAACTCGCGGAATTAGCGTTTCTCAACTGATGATTTGATTTTTTTTTTTTATGATTTTGAGGTTTTTGTGCACTGATATGGATAATTTTTCTTCAATATAAAAAAAATAAAACATGAAAATCAAATTATTTTTCTCTCTAAACGTCTTTTACCTAACACCTATTAGGTCTATATGTTTCCCGTAAAAATAGGAATTTTCCCTACAAATCTAGCTTTTCCAGAGAAGTACCTATCAGTGTTCCGGAAAATCTGTGCATGATGGAAAGAAGTTAAATCCATGTTCGGATTCAGCAGCCAAAATCCCATAGGGAATTTAGTATTGCATGCCTATTACAGTTTCTTTGCACCGCCCGACGCGGGATGGACGGCAGAACCTCCGCTCAAAACGCGGCTCCAATCGGCCTGGCAGGAAGGAAGCCAGGCTGATTTTCCCGAAAACCGTCGGAGGATACTTTTGGTGAATATTATTGCAATCGCGGTCAATTTTAGTGAACGTAGCTGGGAACATTTTAATTTATTTTGGGGAGTAATTGCAATCGCACAGTGTGAGTAATAGCGACTGCTGAAACTTCAGATTGCAGGACTCAGCGTTTGATTTCAATTTTTTTTTTTTTTTTTTTTTTTTTTTTTTTTTTTTTTTGGCAATGCAACGCTAGAACATACAAACGATGAAAAAAATTAGAATGGACCACTAGACAAGGTACGAATTTCAGCATTCTGATACATGTTTCTTAATTAAAATTTCACGTAAAACACGATACGCACAACGAAAATTATCGAAATCAACTCCTCACGAAGACATTTAATGATTCTTGATGCGTGAATTCAAACCACCCGCTCATGAAAACTCAATGCTCTACGTGATTCACATCGCGCGCTAAACGTTATCATGACAGTCTCTGCGCGATGTAAATATCTGGCAACCTCAATCTTGACGCTATGGCTCAGCTATAGCAAATTGCCTATAGTTCGATCAACACATGGTGGGAAATGAATATTGCTCGATTAAGAAACTTGCTGAGACCGTTGTCGTGCGCGATTTGACTCACGTAGAGCTTTGAGTTTCTTGTGAGCGGGCAGTTCAAATTCCTCGTAACCAATGTGAAATGAAAAGGTTAATATCTTCGTTAGGAGTTGGTTTCAGTAATTTTCGTTGCGCGAATCGTGTTCTACGTGAATTTTGGTTGAGAAACATGTATCGGAATGCTTTAATTCGTACCTTGTCTAGTGATCCATTCAAGAATATTGGCCATGTTCCGCGATTGAGCAATTCAAATCTTCCTTCTCTTCTCTTCTTATGAATGAAATTATTGAACTGCCGCAGTAACCCTCTCCCCGGCCGCTACGCTTCCCACACCAGAGTTTGAAAATGATAAGTAAAAAAAAAAAGATGCGCGGCTGCCGAATTCAGGTTTCCCGACGAACTGAGCTCAAAACAATCCCGCCGAGGAGCGAGATCTTGCGACACCGCGCGCTCGAGCCGTGCGCAGTCATATGAGTGTAGCATAACCATGGCAACAGCGATCCGGCCTTCCGTCTCCAAAATCCGCATGACCCACTGAGAAACTGGGTCGGCACCGGTACCCTCGGGGGGCTCCCGCGGCTCCCCCGTTGCGGACCCCCGGGGGGCGTTTGCACCGCCCAACGCGGGACGAAGGGCAGAACCTCCGGTCCAAACGCGGCTCCGATCGGCCCAACAGGAAGAGAGCCAGACCGATTTTTCCGAAAACCGTCGGGGAGCACCAGCGCACCCCCGGAAGAAGGGATCGCTAAATCCAACCTGACCGAACGTCGCCGACCCGCAGACGGAACCGGGAGCCTGGGGGACGAACGGGAAGATAAAAAGTGGGGTACTCCGTGCGGGGGTCGTAAAAAACGGCCTTCGGGGCGCAGCGCCCCTCCGGGGAGGTCGGAGTCGGTAATTCTCGGAACTTAAGCTCCAGCCGCCCGGGGGCACCCGCGTGCCAAATCCCGATCCGAAAGGACGAACGAGGCGGAAACGGCGGCGGTTTTCCCGAAAAAACCCTTAGGGGCTGCAGCAACCCCCCGGAAGGTCGGACCGGAAAACCCGGCGGGGGGACCGGAGACCCGGCCGCAAGGGTCCCGCCGGTGGATCCTCAGGGGCGTAAGACACGGGGGGGCGCGAGACGGGGCCTAGAATCTCAAGGTCACGGCGGACCATCTACAGTTTTACGGATTAGAGCACCAGCGCCCCCCGGATGGAGAGATCGCGAAATCCGACCTTATCGAACGTCGCCGACCCGGAGCCGACCTCCAGACGAAACTGGGAGCCCGGAGGACGAGCGGGAAGGTAACAAGTGGGGCACTTCACGCGGGGGTGGAAAAAACGGCCTTTCGGGGCGCAGCGCCCCTCCGGGCAGGCCGGGGACCAGCGATTCTTTGGACTTAAGCTCCGGCCACCCGAGTGCATCCGCGTGCCGAATCCCGAGCCGGAAAGACGAACGTGGCGCGAGGGGTGACGGTTTTCCCAAAAAAACTCTTAGGGGCTGCAGCAACCCCCCGGAGGATCGGACCGGAAAACCCGGCGGGGGGGCCGGAGACCCGGTCGCAGGGGTCCCGCCGATCGATCCTCAGGGGCGTGGGACACAGGGGGGCCGCGGGACGGGGTCGGGAAGTTCGAGGTCACGGCGGACCGCTTATAATTTTATTTATTAGATTTACCATTTTTACCCATAGGAGTTTAAAGTGACCCACCCATCGCTCATAATTGGACCTTTCTTCAGAGGAAGGCGATGCTCCCTCCAAAAATGTATATTTGGTCGCAAACATGACGTACCTAAATACTCCAAAAAATGTTTGGCATCCTAGAAAATTGACACCATAGGAGGTCAGGGGAGCTCTGAGACTTTGAAATTCTAGTTTTTTTGTGTCAATTACCAATGATATCATCATTTTCCCCGGAGTAGCTATGTCAATTTTGCGACCCAGGAGCAATTTTTGGAGAGGGCACCGTCTCCCTATTTAGGGAGATACTTTTGGGCGTTTGGTGGGTCAACTTGAATTTATGGGGGTCAATTAAGGTTTCAAGTTGTGCCCTTCCGTTAGGAAGCATTCAATTTGCGATTTGGAAGGGAGCAACGACTTTAAAATTGAGCCCTCCCTCCTCCCCACGTTTACTCTCCAAGGGGAGCCAGAGGAGCTTAGACCCTGATATTCGATTGCGATTGCTCTCTGCGGAACAAGTAGGTATTTCACAATTCTGTGTCGGTTACGTAACCGACACAAATTGGCAATGCCGCTATGTTTGTTTGGGACCTCTAGCAGTCTCGCCAAAGGAGCTGATTGCTGATACCTGCTGCCTGATTTAATGACCTGCTTGTTAAGCATTGTAACAATTGGCACTATAAATCAAAATAGTTCGTGCAAAAGCTGGAAAAAGGAAGTTCAATACCTACCATTAAAATGAAACAATGAAATTTGGTTAAAATTGGTGTACCTGTTTTTATTTTTTGTGTGTTGCACAGTTTTGCTATTCCGGTTATTGCAAAATTACACATTATTAACAACGACATTAACATTTTAAAGGAACTGTGGCAAAATCTGCTCGTTACACCAAAATGAATGTAATATCTATATGAAAAATATATTTCAGGGCTTAAAAAAATGATTTAATACACCTAACATACTTCAACACTCCAGCTATGTACTGATATGTGATTTGCCACTAAAGTCAAACGTTTTATTTTAATTCCAATTCTAGGGGGCACCTGGATTGCCAGGACAACCTGGCCAACCTGGTCCTCGCGGATATCCTGGTTTGGGCGGAGTGAAGGGAGAGAAAGGAGAGCCAGCGATTCCCGGTCTTTATGACAAAGGACAAAAAGGAGAACCTGGATTGGATGGAGTTCAGGGTCCGCCAGGCACTCCCGGTATTGACGGACCTCAGGGACCAACAGGCCCCAAAGGAGATCAAGGAATATCAGTAAGTATATCAGGTAAATTTTTTATTAGAGCCCGAGTTTTTACGAGACGCCACAAATACCATAATTTTTCAACGGAAGGTAGCAATTTATGATGTAAAGTTTAGATTGTCATATACCCATTCACTGGATGAAAATTGTTGAGGTTTTGCATTATTGTCGGAGCAATCATTGCCAATTCGATAGCGGGAATGTTTTCTCACTGTTAAAGTCAATAATATGTCAATGGTGCTATTCCACACCAATGAATACCACAGGATTCGCAATGGGTCGGTTGCGCTGGTCACAGAATCGTGTTTTGATGCTAGATTCTTGTAGATCAGTTAGAAAAAATAAGATCCGACCAAACATCAACTTGCTACGTTCAATATGTATTAACAAATATATCGCGCTTTGAAGAATTCGGTTTGTGACGTCATCCACCGCGGAAGTGACACCATTGGTTTCTTCCACCTTAGATTCGTCAATTAGAGAGATATAGGTACATTTGCATTGGTTATATTCAACGTGAAACTCGGAAGAAATAAATAGGTACCTAAGTGGAAGAGACCAAGGGTGTCTCAACCGCGGCGGATGATGTCATTTACCTACCTAAACTGAATATTTCAAAACACGACAATTTGGTTAATATTGAACGTAGAAGGTTGCCGTTTGGACGGATCTTATTATTTATAGCTGATCTACAATAATCAAGCATCAAAACACGAGTCTATGACCAGCGCAGCTGACCCAACGTCTCATTCTGTCCGCAGTACATGGACACCACGAACAAAAAATGTTAATTATAGCAAGTTCAAACATATCCACGTTCGCGGGTCCCACGAACACCAATTTTAATTTGAATCTTGCGTTGCATTGCATGGAACTATCTGCTCTTTTGAAGATTTTAAAATTTCAAGTTTGAAAGTGAAAAGTCCACCTCAAAAGTTGTAAGTTACGAGCACAATGAATAGAGAGAAAAACAACCCTTTTCATTCGAAAAAAAGATAGAAGGTCGCGGTTTGTGGCATTCTTCATCATTCAAAAGGGGAAATGTTTCGATGGGGGGATTTTTCTTGGTGGACCCCCCTGGGGGCCCCAGGGGGGGCAACTTTTAAAATTCAAAAAGCAACCCCCATTTTTTTAGACATGGTTAGAAAGAACTTGAAAGGACAAGGAGAATGGCGAAAAAAAAATTCAAATCGGTTCACTCGCTCAAAAGTTATAGCCAGTCAAAATTTTAAATTGACCACTTTTCAAAAAATCGCCGTTGAGCTCCAAATTATCGAAAAAACAAAAACAAACCAGGAATGAAAAGTTTGAAAAGTGCCCTTTAGGAAAAGGAAAAACAACTGACGTTGTCACAAGTTCGGATGGCATTGTTGCAAAATAAAATTTTGGAAAATTCAACGTGGCAGCAAAGAACCCCGCACAGAGCATGGAGTCAGCGGCTCTCGATGAAAGTCGATGAAACTTTAATAGATTGATATAAAGTTCAAAATTAAGGGAAAGCCAAAAAATTAGCTCACTTTTGCGAGTAGAAGCCGAGATATTCGCGATTGAACCCGGACTATTTTCTATCATGCCGTAGCATGGCGGAAGAATTCCGAGTCCCCTCTTCTCTCGTTGTTCGGCGTTCTCGATCAGACCTCACGTCACTCACGTGAAGATAGGTGCTTATGCGCTCGGCCGGTGCGAATGCCGTACTCCCTCCCTCTCCCCGCATCGGTCAATTCTGTTTCAGCAACTACATTTCAGATTAAACCGGCCGGCAGTGCCGGCACGGGAGGGGTGCGAGAAGCAGGGAACTCCATATCGCACAGCCCGAACGGAGCGTCCTAATGAAAGGAGTGAGTGTAAACAATGCGACATCGTAGTTACCTGGTGGGGAGAGGGGGTTTCCTGGCCGAAGTGCTCAAGCAAGGTAAGGCGACACGGAGAATTTACCTCCGCCGCACAGAAAATAGTCCGGGTTCAATCGCGAATATCTCGGCTTCTACTCGCAAAAGTGAGCTAATTTTTTGGCTTTCCCTTAATTTTGAACTTTATATCAATCTATTAAAGTTTCATCGACTTTCATCGAGAGCCGCTGACTCCATGCTCTGTGCGGGGTTCTTTGAGGAAACGCGAAAAACGAAAATTCCAGAAACTGTTATCTTTCAAATATCCTCTAGTTTAAGGAAATCCAAGGTATCAACTTTAATTCCTTTATTTGGCCAAGTAAGAGCAATAATTTGCTGACTTTGAAGTTGTCAAGCGGGGTGCATTCAATCGTTGGAGTATGCAACATCACAGGATTAAGTGTGCTGTCAAAAAATGAAGCCGATGTGAAAAAACGCTCCTCCTTTGGGATGTTTCAGTAATTTTCACGGTCCTCCTCCAAATTTAACGATAAAAAGAAAAATTGAGCAATTTCCTCCCATAAACTTGGCGAGCCAAAAAAACATGGTTTATCCTGATGGGGTAGGGGCGGTTGACATTTTTGACATTTCGCTCTCTCTGAAAATTAAAAATCCAAGAATAATTTTAATTCTGTAACTCCTGGCACTCCTAATTGGCAAGGAGGATATCTGCTGCTCTTTCAATTCCGAAAACGCCGTTCTACTCTTGATTATTATCTGAGTTGAGATTATCTTATTGACAGTCTCAAACTCACGATTTGAGGCACCGATCTTTTAGGTAACATCTGATGCACTACCTGATCGGTAACATTGTTCACGAAGCTGAAATCAGTATGCTAAGTTCCCTTGATCATACCTACTGCATTCTTATTTAGTTTGCAATTATCAGATTATTCTCGATTTACAGTAAAACTACTGTTTCCACTTTCCACCGGATTTTTGTTTGTTTTAAACTTGGTATTTAGTCATTTGACAAATGAAGTTGTAAATCAGTAGGATGCTTCAGAAATTTTCAAGTTCCTCCTCCAAAGCAGCAAAAGTAAGCACTATTAAATAAAATCGGTTAATATTTTATCCTCAAATTTGCTGCCACGTTGAATTTTCCAAAATTTTATTTTGCAACAATGCCATCCGAACTTGTGACAACGTCAGTTGTTTTTCCTTTTTCTAAAGGGCACTTTTCAAACTTTTCATTCCTGGTGTGTTTTTGTTTTTTCGATAATTTGGAGCTCAACGGCGATTTTTTGAAAAGTGGTCAATTTAAAATTTTGACCGGCTATAACTTTTGAGCGAGTGAACCGATTTGAATTTTTTTTTCGCCATTCTCCTTGTCCTTTCAAGTTCTTTCTAACCATGTCTAAAAAAATGGGGGTTGCTTTTTGAATTTTAAAAGTTGCCCCCCCTGGGGCCCCCAGGGGGGTCCACCAAGAAAAATCCCCCCATCGAAAAATTTCCCCTTTTGAATGATGAAGAATGCCACAAACCGAGACCTTCTATCTTTTTTTGTTCCAAAATTATACACACTTTTCAGTTACTTTACGGACACCCGGTATAGAATTGCAAACTTCAATGCAAAAAAAAAAAAAAATCAGCATAGCCCAGGGAATTTTTGCTAAAAAAGTTTCGCCTCTGCATGGTTTTGATTTGCTGCATTTATCGTATACGGTTGCACAATCTTGGCAACGTATCAATGCACTTACCACCTTATGATTTTCAAGGTCTCAATTTTGGTTCTCTTTCAAAAGTAAAATACCTTTTTAATAGGTTTCCGTATACCTATTAAATAGCTATTCAGATACCTATTTTTAAGCTATAGAGAAAACTATAAAATACGGTATTTATAGTTGAAAAAAGGACACTATATAGGGTATTTAGATAGGATATTTTATATCTATTTTCAGCTATTTTATACCCTATTTTATAGCTATTTGGATACATATTAAATTGCTATTTCGATAAGTATTAAAAATAATATTTTGGCTACTAGGGTGTCAACATAACCTCAGAACCAGACCTTGAAAAAAAGTGGCAAAACAAGCGTGATAACATCCCATGCAAGTGGATCACGAATTAAAGAAAATGTTTTTTTTTATGTTATCACATTTTGACATCATAAGTTACCTTGCTCATCACCAAAAATGATGAAATTTGCTCGATATTTAGGTGGTTTAAAAAATATTATTTTCCAAAAAAACGAGCGGTTGGGAGTCTCAGTATGAGAAGGGACAACATACATTTCAGGCGGGGGGNGGGGGGGGGGGGGGGGCTTTCTTTGACATTTTCCGCCTCTTATCACATCCCTTGGAATACTTATACATATGTACTTATTTCATATTCTGAGACTTTTGAATACTGCCCAGATTTAATGGAGGAATTTATCTTTCAGATCTCACAAAATGGTCAGGGCGTATAGGACAATTGTCACCTCTTTGCGACTTATTATTTAGTTTTTGTTAATTAAAGACATGTTTTTCCATTTCAAATTCGAATTTTACTTTTTTTAAAAACTCAGGTAGTGTCTCCATTTACTCTCCGGTTAGCAGAATGGGGATAACACCTTATTTTCATTGAAATTTGCTGGTGTCCCTATTTACCTCAGTGGAGGATGAATAGGGACAGTAGGTAAAAAAAAAAAAAAAAAAAAAAAAAAAAAAAAAAAAAAAAAAAAAAAAAAAAAAAAANAAAAAAAAAAAAAAAAAAAATTAAACCGTTAAAATTTTCGTATCATTATGATTTTCGGAGAAAGTAAAGAACTTGAAAGGTCACAACTTCCTGTTTAAAAAACGGAATTCTCAAAATCAGTACGCCACAGACGTGCATTTGTATAAAAAACTGTCTCCATTCACCCCAGATTACGGTTTTCATAAATCATTTAAAACTGTTTGTACGCATGACTTTCGATGAGGACTTACAATTTTTGAGAGAGACTTTTAACTTTCAAACTTGAACTTATAAACACGTTAAACCTGTAGGAAGTTAGGTGAATGCAGTGCCAAATTTATTCAGTAATTTAAGATGAAATTGGTGTTCGTGGTACCTAGAAACGTGGATGGAGTGAATATATTATATCAAGATTTTTTTGCATGGTGTCCATGGACTGTGGACAGAATGATGCTTAATTCTAATTCCAATTTAGTTGCCCCAAGTAAAGTGATCCGAGACACACGGTAGTGATGGTACTCGTTTTCACTAAGCCAAACTTGTAATTTTAAAAGAAGCCCAAAAACCCAACCGTTAAATGGTGACAGGTGGCGATACTACACAATCGCACCAATTTTTTTTTGAAATTTTGAAAATAATTCCAACTACATATGTAGCGATGGGTGCCCCTTACTGGCTTTTACGGATTTTTGACTTGCCGTTTAAGCGTTCCACCAGTCTCTATGATCGTGAAAAAAGTTGCGTCATGAAAAACAATATGCAAGAGATTATTATCGGCTGAAAATTATATACAGGGTTATCCAAAAGTCACTGACCACCCCTGTAACTTTTTTCCAAATTGAGATAGAAGTTTGAAACTTTGGGAATGATCCTCGGTCTAAGGTAGCAACTTTTTGGTCCCCTCAAAATTTTGGAGGGCGGCCTCCCTTAAGGGGGGCGGGGGCTAACTTTTTTTTTTCAAATGGCAACCCCCCCCCCCTTTGTGATATCTCATTCGAAAGATAATGAAAAAAGAAAATTTTTGGCGCAAACCGCAGGTCAAAATGTTCATTTTTGACAAAATGGCGGCCGGTCAAAGTTCAAAATGGCGGAAATTTGGCATCTCTGTTGTTTATAGACGGATTGGTGTGAAACTCGGAATCGTAGGGTTTTTCGGGATGAGAAAGACGATTCTGGCATTGGTTTTCCAGAAAAGTCAGTCCTTTTCAAAATGGCGGCCTCGAGCGGGAAGTGAATATTTGGGCTGCATATCGTTGGATTTGCATGAAACTTGGTATCTGGGGGTATTTTGGCACAAAAAGAACGAATCTTTCATTGGATATTTGAAATTTTGAGAAATTCCAAAATAGCGGCGGAAAAATTGCGATAAATCAGTTTTACGGCTCTTTACCGATGGATTTGCATGAAATTCGATATCCTGGCGGTTTTTGGCTGGATAAAAAGGAATCTTTCATTAGATTCTTGAAATATCAAATAATTTCATGCTAATCCATCGGTAAGAGCCGTAAAACTGATTTACCGCAATTTTTCCGCCGCCATTTTGGAATTTGTCAAAATTTCAGATATCCAATGAAAGATTCGTTCTTTTCGTGCCGAAATACCCACAGATACCAAGTCTCATGCAAATCCAACGATATCCAGCCCAAATATCCACTCCCGCTCGAGGCCGCCATTTTGACCGCTGCCATTTTGAAAATGACTGACTTTTCTGGAAAACCAATGCCAGAATCGTTTTTCTCATCCCGAAAAACCCTACGATTCCGAGTTTCACACCAATCCGTCTATAAACAACAGAGATGCCAAATTTCCGCCATTTTGAACTTTGACCGGCCGCCATTTTGTCAAAAATGAACATTTTGACCTGCGGTTTGCGCCAAAAATTTTCTTTTTTCATTATCTTTCGAATGAGATATCACAAAGGGGGGGTTGCCATTTGAAAAAAAAAGTTAGCCCCCGCCCCCCTTAAGGGAGGCCGCCCCCCAAAATTTTGAGGGGACCAAAAAGTTGCTACCTTAGACCGAGGATCATTCCCAAAGTTTCAAACTTCTATCTCAATTTGGAAAAAAGTTACAGGGGTGGTCAGTGACTTTTGGATAACCCTGTATGTATATAGGTCAGCATACATATGGCGAATTATCTACAATGTTTCATACAGGTATAATATTATCTCTCTGTGTATTAGGTATCGTTATTTTATTTATTTTCAGGGATCTAGAGGTTTGATTGGTTTGAAAGGGGAAAAAGGAAATATGGGCGTAGGATACGATGGTCCAAAAGGAGAGAAAGGGAAGAAAGGAGAGCCTGGCCCTGCGGGCCTGCCAGGGAGGTATGGGTCGCAGCTTTCACCAAAAGGAACTGATATCGGGCCAGTGGGAGATCCAGGTGAAAAAGGAGATGCGGTAAGAAATTATGTTCTTTTACTTTTCCTGCTGTTGCTACTGAGATAAACATAAATACCTTAGATAAACGGATTTGCGAGTATGATGGATGAGGCATTTTTTACTTCAACGAACTCCTTGTTAGAGTGTTTCTGCGAAATCGTTCCTGTCATACAGTGAATTCAGTCAGTTGGACATAAGTAAGCACAGTTCACACACACACACACACACACACACGGTACAGTTCACACACACACACACACCCTCACCCACCCTCACACACCGCACCGCTCAGCACAGTTCAGCACAGCACACAGCACAGCTCAGCACAGTTTCAGTCAGTGTGTTGTACATAATGTGGAATCTTAAAAGCTTTCATCATCCTTAAGACAAGACGTGGAGGTTTGAAAGGGCTTTCATTAATTTTCTTGTAAAATGACCTTCAATTAAACAAATCCGTCCGGTAGTAGCCATAGGCCAATTTCAAACACTCCGATAAGGAGTGTTAAAAATTACTTCTCAGGGAGCCTTTTGTATTATAAAAGTAAAATTTAAGTCCGGCTGAATTTACGTAAAAATTATTTTTAAAAAAAATTACCTAGGTACCTATACCCTCTACTTTACGAGTTTTTTTTTACATTTTTCTCAATTACTTTTAGTCTTGAAAAACTACAGTAGACCTGTTAAGAGTTTCTTACTTTTATTTTGCCTCTCATGCCTTAATTTTACGTGAGGAAGTACCGACTAAAACAGGATTTGCTGAAACGGAACATTTAAATTTTTTTTTTTTTTTTTTTTTTTTTTTTTTTTTTTTTTTTTTTTTTTTTTTNAAAAAAAAAAAAAAAAAATTCCAAAAAAAAAGTATACATATTTTTTTTTCGTGAAAAAAAAATTAAAAAATAAAAAAAAAATAATAAAATAAAAAAAATAAAAAAAATAAAAAAATAAAAAAATAAAAAAAATTTTAAAAAATTAAAAAAATAAAAAAAATTAAAAAAAATAAAAAAAATAAAAAAAATTATAAAAAATAAATAAAAAAATAAAAAAATAAAATAAAAAAAAATAAAAAAATAAAATAAAAAAAAATATCTTAGGACTAAGTCGAATAACGGCTGGTGTTGCTGGGGGACTCCAGCGGCCGATGCCCGTTGATTCGGACTGATGAGTGTTGAAGACCTATGCGCGGCAAGCCGGGCATATTCAAATATTTCCCGCGCAATTCCAACTGAACCTGCTCCTACCTCCTTAAACACCCCTTCAATTAAAGGCAGAGTTCTGATATGCGGTCCTCCCTTATTTCAAATAGCCCAAGAGTTTCATATAAATATACAGAGTGGTGCACAAGTCAAGGGTTTGTCGCACCCGTTCCTTTCCTCGAGCAATAACGGGATCCCACTGAATCCCGCTAAGCGGTAACTCGAACTCAAATTCGAATTTATAAAAGGGATCAACAACTTTTCCTTGCCCTTCCCCCCTCCCTATTCCCGCTCTCGCGCAATTAAATACGGATGTTCCCTGAATAGGTAAGCTGCATCCGCACTTTTCTGAAGTAAAGTACCTGTATAGCGAGAGTATGGACAGATGTGAAACTCCGAAAATCCATCAGGCCTTCACCGATGCTTCTGCGAATAAAGTTAGGGCCCAGAAATGCAGCCAACCTATGAATTTCAATTATCCAGAGCACTTTACTAATACAATTGTTACGAACCATCGTTTGCGCGAGAGCGGGAGTAGGGAGGGGGGATGGGCAAGGAAAATTTGTCTATCCCTTTTATAAATTCGAATTTGAGTTCGAGTTACCGCTTAGCGGGATTCAGTGGGATCCCGTTATTGCTCGAGGAAAGGAACGGGTGCGACAAACCCTTGACTTGTGCACCACTCTGTATATTTATATGAAACTCTTGGGCTATTTGAAATAAGGGAGGACCGCAGATCGGAACTCCGCCTTTAATTGAAGGGGTGTTTAAGGAGGTAGGAGCAGGTTCAGTTGGAATTGCGCGGGAAATATTTGAATATGCCCGGCTTGCCGCGCATCGGTCTTCAACACTCATCAGTCCGAATCAACGGGCATCGGCCGCTGGAGTCCCCCAGCAACACCAGCCGTTATTCGACCTAGTCCTAAGATATATTTTTTTTTTATTTTTATTTTTTTTTTATTTTATTTTTTTTTATTTTATTTTTTTATTTTTTTATTTTTTTTATTTTTTTATTTTTTTTATTTTTTTATTTTTTTTAATTTTTTTTTATTTTTTTATTTTTTTTAATTTTTTTTTATTTTTTTTATTTTTTTTATTTTTTTATTTTTTTTAATTTTTTTTATTTTTTTTATTTTTTTTATTTTATTATTTTTTTTTATTTTTTTTATTTTTTTTATTTTTTATTTTTTTTTTATTTTTTTATTTTTTTTTCACGAAAAAAAAATATGTATATACTTTTTTTTTTGGAATTTTTTTTTTTTTTAGGGTTACGGAAGCCGTTCCGTACTAAACCCGCGGGTTTTTGTAAGTTTTTTTAAATTGTATCTGTTGGTATAAGGATAGATGTAAAATGAGACGACATAGATATCAAATGATGAGTCTCATTTCATGTCCAACCTCTCCCAAAAAGGTTTGTTCTACACCGTCGAGCCAGAAAACACGCTAAGAAACGGCGGAATTTGAACGCTTCGAGCGAAGAATTTTGGTTTGATCAAAGTCAATAGACCCAGGTTCGTCCGTTAGGAAAGTTGAGTGTGATAATCTTTGTAAATCGGCAACGAAGGTCTATCCACGTTTCAAAACATTTCCCCGATTTGCTCGTCTCACTCTGCTACATCCCTCCTGATCCGCTTAATTGTTCTTAAGCTGATTGCGGCAATGNGGGGGGGGGGGGGCTATGAAACGGAGCAGCGACAATCAGGGAAACGTTTCGAAAGTAGTGAAACAGCTAATCGGATCGTCGCCAGATCGGGAAATTTCCACGAATATCTTGCTTTCGGACTGACCTGGGTCTAACAACGTTTGGTCCAATCGCCACATTGGTTCCCAGACCCGATCTAGGTGGCATTAATTCGAAAAAATGAATTTTGAAAAAATTAAATTTTGACACCACAGATTGATAGTGCATACTCTCGAAAGTAACTTGGCCAAATATCATGAAGATTGGATCACTAATAAGGAAATGATAAGCACCTAAATGTGAGGCCGCGAGGTACTTTCGGGCGGACTCACACCAGTTTTCAGTGTTTACTATTTGGTCCTATGATTTGAAGTTCATCACACAGAAATAGATGCAAATTTGAAGTGACCCGTTATGGTGTATCAAAAATATAAGGCATGTCAAAGGTTTATACGTTTTCACTATCCTTCAAAAACGTGTCTATACATCTAGACAAGCCGTTAGACATAGCGTTATTTTCGACTAATTTCAAGCGATTTTTTTACAAAAATGGCTCTAGATAAATGTCTTGCGCCGGTTCGCACGCATACAGACCTACTGTAGTAGTTAGTACTAACCCTACACTTGATTTTAGTGCAATAAAATTCTGCGCATACTTGCGTTCCTGGGGGTTAGGGCACTTTGAATTTCCAAAACCGGCTTTCAAGAAATTAAGAATTAACACACTAAGGAGGGTTAATGCAGACCTCAGATCATTGGGAGTATGAATACTACATTTTTTACAGGTCGTGTGGGTTCTCAAATCTTCATAATCGTTAGGATGATTATTTTTTACCTTGTCTATAACTCTAGAGAAACCCATAGACTTAGTACAGCTCCGATTTTTTGACTGAAAATGTTACAAATATGGCTCAAAAGAAAGGCCATGCGTAGGTCCGCACACGTGCAGACCGACTGTAGTAGTTAGTGCTAACCCCACACTTGATTTCGGAGCAAAAAAAATCTGCGCATACTTGCGTCCCTGGAGGTTAGCGCACTTTTAATTTCCAAAATCGGCCTCCGAGAAATGAAGAATTGACACACTGAGGAGCTTACTGCAGACTCTAGATCTTTGAGGATATGAATACTGCATTTTTTGCACATCACGTGAGTTTTCAAATACTCAAAATCATTGGGATGATTATTTTTCACCTTTTCTATACCTGTGGAGAAGCCCATAGACTAAAGACAGTTCCCGTTTTTTGACTGGAAATTTTACAATATGCGTCAAAATACACGTGGGTTCTTAAATCCTCACAATCATCGTTTAGATATTTTTTTTACCTGTCTTTACCTTTAGAGAGGCCCATAGACATAGCACTAGCTGTTCCACAGTATTCATATCCTGCAGTATTCATATCCTCAAAGAACTAGAGTCTGCAGTAAGCTTCTCAGTGTGTCAATTCTTCATTATTCGAAGGCCGATTTTGGAAATTCAAAGTGCGCTAACCTCCAGGGACGCAAGTATGCGCAGAATTTTTTTGCTCCGAAATCAAGTGTGGGGTTAGCACTAACTACTACAGTCGGTCTGCACGTGTGCGGACCTACGCATGGCCTTTCTTTTGAGCCATATTTGTAACATTTTCAGTCAAAAAATCGGAGCTGTACTAAGTCTATGGGTTTCTCTAGAGTTATAGACAAGGTAAAAAATAATCATCCTAACGATTATGAAGATTTGAGAACCCACACGACCTGTAAAAAATGTAGTATTCATACTCCCAATGATCTGAGGTCTGCATTAACCCTCCTTAGTGTGTTAATTCTTAATTTCTTGAAAGCCGGTTTTGGAAATTCAAAGTGCCCTAACCCCCAGGAACGCAAGTATGCGCAGAATTTTATTGCACTAAAATCAAGTGTAGGGTTAGTACTAACTACTACAGTAGGTTTGTATGCGTGCGAACCGGCGCAAGACATTTATCTAGAGCCATTTTTGTAAAAATTCGCTTGAAATTAGTCGAAAATAACGCTATGTCTAACGGCTTGTCTAGATGTATAGACACGTTTTTGAAGGATAGTGAAAACGTATGAACCTTTGACATGCCTTATATTTTTGATACACCATAACAGGACACTTCAAATTTGCATCTATTTCTGTGTGATGAACT